AATGGCTGTTGCGTTAGTTAGTTCAAAGAGCATGACTAGAAACTCATGATGCCCGTACCTAATTCTGAAGAGAATGTCCTCAACCCTGATCCTTATCTGGTGATAACCCGAACGCAAATCTATTTTGGAGAAGAACTGAGCATCCTACAACTAGTCAAAAAAGTCATTAATTCTGGGGAGATGGTACTTGTTCTTGATCGTAACTCGGTTCAATCCCCTGTAGTCAATACACAATCATAAGGTCCCATCCCTTTTTCTTGCAAATGTGACTTCAGCACCCCAAGGAAATACGCTGCTATGACGGATGAACCCACTATCTTACAATTCATTGATCTGTTTCCTCAATTCTTCTGTCTCAACATGGTTCATGCGGTAAGGGGCAACAGAGATAGGCTGGGTGCTAGGTTCAAGATCTATGGTGAACTCAACTTTCTTGTCAGCTGGCAGTCCAGGTAGTTCATCAGGAAATACATTCGGGAAGTCTCGGACTATCGGGATTTCTTAAATGCAAACTTCTTTGTTATGTTTGTCTAATGTAAAGAAGACAATAGAGTTAAAGCACTATATAATGAGGAAATTACCATGGGGAAATAATATTAAAACTTTCATTAACTTGTAAATGGCTTTCCGTTAAGAGGGTTGAATATAAGTTTTTCGTGAAAACAATCTACGGTGGCGTGGTACGCCACTAACCAGTTCATTCCTAAGATTATATCAAAATCCCCTCATGTCAATCTCTATTAGGTCCACACTCAATTTCTTATATACTATGTCTATAACACAAGTTTTGTATATAATCTTCCCTAATAGTGTTCTACTTCCACAAGTAGATACAAATAATATAAAATCAAGTTTTTCCGGTAATACATTTAAGTTTTGTGTGAGACAAACAAATGTGAAGCACCAGTATTAATCAAAACATGTGCAAGATGATTACAGATAGTGTATGTACCCTGTATCACGTCCGAGTTGGCTTCAACATCCTGCTGAGTTAGGTTGTAAACTTTACCTTGAATAGTAGGTCTGGCCTGCTTCTGATTTCGCGGGCACTCTCTCGCGTAATATTGGGTACTTCCACATATGCGATAAGTATTATTGAGACGACAGCAGAGTCGGTCCCCATGATCCTTACCAAAGTGCTGGCAAGTCCTATCGCATCCTATTACCAGAGCCTGAGGAGGAGACAGAGTCACTGGCCTAGGGCTCTTGTTCTATTGAACTGATGCAGTGGGTGTTGGTCTGTGGTGTGAAACCAGAGGTATGGGATTCTCCAATACTGGAGAAAAGATGCGAAGGTTCCTCTATACTAGCTGTGCCTTAGCTATAATGGCTGAGTAGGTACTAAGCTCAAATACGTACAACTGCTGTCTGATCTCAGGGCGGATACCCCATTCAAACTTTATTGCCTTCATGTCCTCATCTATCATGTTCTAAGAGAAAAATCGGCACCCAACTCTAGGAACTTTCGGGTATACTTCGACACAGTCATCTCACCCTGTACTAGGTGTGCAAACTCTATCTCCTTCAAATGTCGGAGGTGCTCTGGGAGGTACTATGCATTGAAGGCCATCAGGAACTACTCCCAAGTGACTGGACCGGGCAGAGTGGACTGCTTGAGCTGCCACCAGTGGTCTGCCTCTCCTACAAACATGTAGATGGCAGGTATAACCTTATGTTCGAGGAACCACCTCAAGAGTCGTGAAGACCTTCTTTGTCTCAGCCAACCAATATTCGGCCTCTTTAAAAGAGGATGCACTTATAAAGATAGATGAATTTAGTCTTTTGTACCTTTCAATGTAGTCTGAGTCCATCATGGGTGCAACTGAGTCCCGTAGAAAAGGAACTATATTGTGTTGGGGAAGGACCGGGTGGCCTTGTGGTGGTGCCGGATGATACGGTGGAGGCACCGGGTTGTACTGTTGTTGTATTTGATGATGCAGTGGAGGCATCGGATTGTATGCAGTGGTGTCGGATGGTACAGTGGAGGAGCAAGATTGTATCAGGGTGGCTCCCGATCTTCTCACTACAAGGGTGGCTTAAATTGTGGCAACGGGGGAGGGTCAGACATCTCCTTCCTTTCTTCCTGAGTCTGCTGAGCAGAGATGAGTCTCTTCGGCATCTCAAAGAGCCGGTCAACATTCTCTCGAAGTGAGCCATCCCGGGCTGCTCGATTTAGTGGGGATCTTCCTCTCTTCATTTTCTTGTACCTGCATTTCATAAGAAAAGGTTGAGTGATAGTTTGTATTTGGTGTTTTTAACTCTTTGTGCAATGAATGGTTTCGAGAAACGCGGCTTTGATACTAACTGTATAAATCCGGAATTTAAAAGAAAATAAATTCATAAATTTAATGTGAAAGCAATTAATAGAATTAAGGTTTACATTCTTTATACAATAATTTTAACTGCTCAATAGAACTACGGGAATGTCCATTCTAAAAGATAAACGAAAATTAAAGAAATAAAACAAAAAACGAATAATTAAACATCCTAAAACAACTTTCACTAGCACTTGAAAGGAGTCTGAATAGTGAACTACTCACAACTTTCTTACTGATCGGGATCTGGATTTTCGTCATCTTGGTCTGAAACAGTTAATGAAAGGGTGAGGTATACTAGTCCAATAAAAATATCACACTAATTATAAATACGGAAAACTAAAGATTGGTAAAAATCATAAAACCATTAATGAAGCACTTAATTTGAGTAAATTCATTTAATATAAAGAAAATCGTTTTTTCCGTGTTTACCGTAACGAATTTTTCAAAAACAACCTATGAAGACAAATATTCATATCACTTTTCACTTTCACATATAAGAGAACGAGAAATAATAACTTTCCTTTTTTACCTGCTTACTAGTACCTCTAGGGCCTATAGGGGTGTCTCCCCTACTTGTGAACTCAATATTCAATTTTAAAAATTAACCAGTCATCCTCATATTCCGTTCGGCAATGGGTGCCAAACATTCCATCGTCTCGATATCCCGTCCGGTATGAGGGTGAATCATATCTCCTAAACTTTTATTGTAAGAGATTTCTTAGCCTCGTCTGACTGAGATAGTGTTCACGGTAGGGTTCTCTATATATCGGGCCCGTTTGCCCTTTCCTTGGGCACCCAGTAAGTTTTTCACATAAAGATTCTTATAGCAAACAACCAATGAACTCATACCAATATCTCATATCACATTCACAGATCAATTAAACTACATTCATGCTGACGGTATATAAACAAAATAATCAGATAAGTTAATAAAATTATTGAAATATAAAATTAAGAATATGTGTTATACAAAAATCAAGTAAGTAGGACAATACAGGAAAATAGACAAGAATAAAGACAATTGTGAAATAACCGATTCCGACTAAACTAGTAATTTGTAATTATTTTTATGGTTTTTTAATTTTTCACAAAAATATAAAATTATACAACTTTAAGCCTCAATTTACTATAACGGAGAATAGGGTGAGAGATCCTTACTCGGATCGGTGTTTCGAGATATCGAGTTATCTATTACGCCTCCTAACGAGTAACGGGATCTCTGAATTTTTCCTATGGAATTTAAAACACTTGTCATATACTTAAAAATATCCCAAAAATCTAAAATCGGTATCCAAAACTCATTCCGGCCAATTTTGGGATTTCGGCACGGCGGTGCGACTGTTCTCCGGCACTGGCTCAGTCGTCCACGGCGATGGTTCGCCTCAGCCTGGCCGGTTTTGGTCGGTTTTAGCCGATTTTTACTGGTTTTGGCCGTATCCCTGCAGAAAAATACGTTAGAGACCTCGGTTGGTCGGGAAATCACAAAAAAAACTGAACCTACAGGCGGGGGGACCTCCAGGTGTGGCGGCTCCGCCAATCCTCCTACGCGGCTGTGGTTCTTTCTTCGGCTATCTTGCACAGAAAATAATGCTGGGCTTGGCTTGCGATTTCCCGCTCACCCGCCGTTTCTCTTACTCCGATTTGGCCACAGGAGTACTCAGAATTGAATTCCAAGCGGGTAGAGGGAATTTTTACCTTTTTTGGTAGTCGGTGATGGCTCCAGTGCAGCGATGGTTGGCAGTCGACCTCTTTCTCCAACGTCTGGTTCTTCTTCTTTAGCGGGGGCTGGCGGCTAGCAGTTAGGGTTTAGATTCCTATAAAATACAAAGTATTTATAACCATCTCGCATTGATCTGGATTGTTCATCGCGATTGATCTCGTCCGTCCAATCGCGTCTAAAAAGAAAACGAATCTGGGTCGTTTATCGTGATTAATCTCGACCGTCCGATCGCGCCTAAGGGAGAAATGGATTTAGACCGTCTACACGCGAGGAATTGATCCTGGGCTGTCTGATCGCAGGGCATGCGGATCGCCAGCGTGGCCTCCCGTGTGGCACCGACATTAGCGCGCCTTGCCACGCAGCGCACTCCGGTTTGTCGAGACTGCTGACTTTGCAATCTTATGTGACCGAACTTTCTCTATTTGCATTTTAACTACCTATTTTCAATTTTTTTTAAAAAAACATCATCATAATCCAAATTTTCACTCAATTTTTTCAAAATTGTTTTCAATCTCGTCCCTAATTCATTTTTTTCTCAAAATTTTACTTAAATAAAAATAAAATAAATTAATCAATTATTTTAAATTAAAAATTAAAGAATAAAAAATTTATTTCGGATCGTTTTTCGAGGCCGGATATTACACGCTTGTCCATTTATTGAATACTGAACTTCATCCATTTGAAATATTTTTGAAAATATGAGTTCTTGAATCATCTTCTTATATCTCTGCTCGTTCTAAACTCTGCCTTCTTTAATCTTGTTACCTCTGATGAGGTCTGTAAACAAATCCAACCAAAGCTAGTTTAGTGTTGCTGCTTGAAATTATGTGCCAGTCATTGTTTACTTCGCTCATCAAGGTACTTTTAGTGTCAGTAAATTTGCATGTCACTGAATTTCCTTTATTGTGAGGTCAATTTGTTATTTATTTTGCGGGCTTATTGGCTTCTTTCTGGGCATACAGTGCCAGCACTTAGGGGCAAGGATTATGGCAAAACGAAAATGAGATATCCGGACTACATAGAAACAGAATCAGGTCTCCAGTATAAGGTCACCTGTCAGAAACTTTGTTTTCTAAACCCACTTATGAATTTATTACCTCCACAAGCACTCCCAATTTAGTTATTTCCGTTAATTCTATCTTTAAAAGGAATGCAGGATTTGCGTGTAGGAACTGGCCCCAGGCCGACAATGGGAGAGACAGTAGTGGTAAGGGAAAATTTCTATGCAATCTGGTTTCGCTGGCTGTCAGACATCTTAAAAATCAGCTGACTTTTTTTGGACTCCAGAATGAATTATAAAATGAAAATAAGAATAGTTTTTGAATTAAACTATGTCTCTTAGTGATAATTAGGTAAACATGTTCACAGATCTGATGTATATTATTAATTTCCACCTTGAAGTTATTGATGCAAGATATGGACTCTGAATGCACTGTAGGTTGATTGGGATGGGTACACCATAGGATACTATGGCCGGATATTTGAAGCTCGAAACAAAACAAAAGGTGGTTCGTTTGAGGTGTGAAAAACCTGTAATTTTTGTATTGCTGGTCATTTTTTGGTGCTTGATTTAAAGAAAATGATTTTTGGATTCTTAATATGCAGGGGGATGACAAGGACTTCTTCAAATTTAGACTGGGATCACAGGAGGTGAGCAATTATTTTCCTGTTTTGGGCGATCAAGAATATCTCAGATTACTTTTTTTTTTTCAATTAAAAAAAATGGAGGAAGCATTCTCAGATCTCAGAATACAGATGAAAATACAGATGAGTGAAATGGAGGAAGCATTTCTGTCCCATCAGATTCTAGTTATTTTCTTTTCAAATTTTGTTCATTTAGATATTATCTTGTTCTGCATTCATTCACCACTATGGAAACCATGTCAAGATATCTTTTTGTTTTATTCTTTTGGATCTTTTCGACATAATGAGATTTTTCCCAAAGCTGTGGCCAATTGGCAAGGACAGTATTCAAATGGGAAATTGATAAATTTTTTGGTCATATCAAGCCTATTAAATGGTTCACTTGCTTCTTTCTTTACTTGATCTATTTTGTTCCTGAAGGTGTAACTGTTGCTGTATTATTCTTTGGTATTCAGGTAATACCAGCTTTTGAGGAAGCTGTTTCAGGAATGGCTCTGGGTGGCATCAGGAGGTGGGTTAAATCTGCTTTTCTCCCGAGAGATAGGATTCGTTACACTGAGAGGGATTTTTTTTTTTTCCTTCTCTTTTTTCTTTTGGGCTGAAATACTGGGAGAGATTTAGATCTTCAACATTGAAGGAAGCATGAAATGATATAACTCAGATAAGATGCATGCAGAGAACTCATAATTGAATGAATTATCAATTTTGTATTATTTTAGTAGTTATTGCCATGCATTGTGCGTCTTTGTGTGTAATTTCTTCGGGCCACTCCTGTTTGTCTTCTAATGCATACTCCTATTAAAGTATGCCAAGAATAGATCAAACATTAATAAACAGACTTTTTCGTAGGTGGAATTCTATAATGCACTCTGTCTATCAAACCCTGCTCATAAATTAGTGGAAGAACTTCTGATGCAGCCTACCTTTTGTACATGCACAATGAATGCAGAACTTTGACCATGCTAATCAGCTCACGTGATGCAGGATCATTGTTCCCCCAGAACTAGGATATCCTGAGAATGACTATAACAAGAGTGGTCCGAAACCGACAACATTTTCGGTAATGCTCAAATCGTTTGAAATTATAATTGTTGTTTAGTTTAGGGATGCTTCTATTAGTGGCATGCTATCATTTGTTGCAGGGTCAACGAGCATTAGATTTTGTCTTGAAGAATCAAGGGCTGATAGATAAGACTCTTCTGTTTGATATTGAGCTTCTTAAGATAATTCCAAATTGATCCCTAGGTCAATAGACTTAGCTTCCAGCATCTGCGAATTGAGGATGGTATTGTATTGCCTCCTTAAATTTGGAAGAAGATTTACAAGTTCTCTGGTTTGCCAATATTTGTTCTCTCTGTACTTATACTGATACACATTGTGTGGGTCAATGCATTATATTTTCAGTTACATTGCGAGGAGGCATGTCACGAGGAACTAATAATCAATGTGGGATGCTAAGTTGATTGCTATTGATTATATCATTATTATACCGAAACATAAACAAATTACCATACAAAATTAGTTCGAAGAGAATAAATATTGTATACATTCGTGATTTGAAGAATAAGCATTTAAAGTATGAACATTTAAAGTTGATTGGTATTTGTTATACATGTGGCTGAAATTAAATGGTAAGACAGACAAATCATTGCATGCATTATTCTTGAAATATAAATCAAATTGGGAAAAAATGAAGCATATAGTAAGGTGAAGATATTATGAATATCTATGCTTTTAATACATATTTTTGATTGAGTTTTGAAGGACAATAAAATTAAGTTTTATCATCTATCAAAGAGGAGGGGATTTTTGGATTGTATTATTAATTTTGATAATTGACAAAAACTTAATTTTGCAATCGTGATTATTGATTGAATTTTTTATTTAACTAGCATGGTGCAAGTCAAGAAAATGTATAATAGAACGTTAAAAACCACAATACAAATAAAAGAGGAAAATCAATTGAATATTGAATATTGAATATTGAAAAGTAATTATTTTATTGTTTATCCTCCATGTTATTAGGTGTTTCAATTTGAAGGCTTAGCACTTTTTCTTATTCAAGTCTTTTTCATTCATAAAAACCTCTTCGAAAATGTTTTTCAGAAATATTTTTTATTAATTTTTAAAAGTTTAAATTTGATTGAAAAATTAATTCTTAAATATTAAAAGTGTACTTAAGTTAATTTTAATGTTACAGAAGATGTGATATAATAAATCTAGTCATAAATTACAATGTTTTCAAAAAAATATATATATTTTTTTTGTTATGTATAGAGTACCTAATTTGCAAGATCACATGTGAAATCACATCAGACGAAGGTTTTGAGAAATATAACCATTGGAACTGTACTAAATGATAAAATTTCAAATTTCTTTATCTCTAATTGCTAGTTTCCTTTTTATCCTTTAAGTACACTTCTTCCACATGATTTAGAGCAAAGAGAGAGGACTTTCAACATCATTCTAAGAGATTCTTTGAAGAAAATCTCATATCTCTAATTTCTTTTCGTCTTCAAATTCTTTAACGTGCTTTTACCTGCATATTTGCTTTTTGAGCAGCATTCTTCAAAAAGCTCTATCAAAAATTACTCAGGTTTCTTAAACATTACTTCATCTACATCTTTTGAAAGATTGATTGAAGAAATAAAATATAAATATATATATTTTAGTTGTGAAGAATCCTCAAGTGTGCTGTTATATGAAAATTTATTTTTTAAAAAAACATTTCTTTGAGAAAATCTTCCAAAAACTTCCTTGAGCTATCACATCATAACTTTTAAAGTATTTAAATAATCTTTTTGAAAAAATCAAGCCAAAATCTTCATCCTTTTCTCTTGACCGTTGATTGAGTTCTAAGTAAGTTTTAAGTTGTAAACTCACTTGTTATAATAGAAAATATACAAATTTCACTTTATCTTTTAATGACTACTAAAAAAGAGGAGTGAGTATTCCTCTTATGGGTTGAATGTTAAGAAAAATACTTGAAACGTAAACTTAACACATTGATATACAAGCATCTATGTTTCGGAAAATACATGTGAAAGGTGAGCTTAACACCTTAATATACAGACATTTGTGTTGGGAAGACATGTGTGAAAGATGAGCTTAATATCTTAATATATAAGTATTTGTTAGAAATTCATGAAATTAACACATAATCCACAAATCCATTCTGTAACTAATTTCCCAAAATCAATGTGCATAGCAAGACATATAATCACATTAATACATAATGAACTGCATGTAAATATTCATGACATATTTACCTCTTGTAGAAATCCAGACTTTGGAAGAAAAATCAATCAAAAAATCTAATTTTCTTCTTCATGGAAGTAGAACTTTTTGAGAAAGAGAAAGAGAGAGTGGTGAGTTTCTTCTTTGTACGTTTTATTTTTTCTTTTATTTCCTTTTTCTTTTAACAGATTACTAAATGAGTAACTTTCCTTGGATGTGGTAACTGACTATAATTTTGATTTTGAATTTTAACTAACTGGGTAATCCTAATTGAGTCGAGTCCCATCATGGGTGACCCTCCAGATTAATCAATATCTCCCACTCACAAGTAATGGGACCATCTCTTTCTTCAATTCTATAAGATTAATACATAAATATATCGCGTGACCATGCATACTTTGAGAGCACTTTAGCTATATATCTGTTAGCTTAGAATATGTAATTCTATGATATACCCTAGATCACATATCACATTTATATTTCTAATAATCTCATTTAACTAATAAATCAAGTACATTCATAATTATATTTTTCCATAAATAAACATAATTGGTCGACCAATGAATGTACATAAATGATATGGTATATGTTTTAAATTGTGATCTTCCTCTTATCTTGATTCTTTCACCTTTTATTTTATTCGTTTTTTCAAAGATATCCTATTGGACCTAATCAATAATGATCTTTTGGTTATATTTTAAGATAATGAGCCTTAACTAAAACGTTCAATAAACTAATTAGAGTCATGGGGGTACTAGATGAGATTCTCTTAAAATCTCAAAGTCTCATATAATGTTAAAGTTGAGATCTTATTTTTATTACCTGTTGGTCAAATTAGTTGCACATGTGGTATGAATCACATGCTACGGTATTCTTTCCTTTCCCATGGAATACATGTCTTTTATTTCTTATAAATAATGTACATATTGTAGTAAGATATACTCAATATCTAATTCCATTTCACTTATATATCTTTTTAATTTTTTAGAACTCTAATATGACAATTTTGTTATGACTTAATTCCTCACCCTGATGAGTGGTGATAATTATTAATATTTAAGCTAGCTCTCAACTACTATCTAGGTAATTAGCTTAAATTTTTCTTATATTTGTCGTACCAAATAATAAAGGTGATTTCCTTTGTGAAAAGACCAATCGTATATATGTCCAACATGTTTTCTCTAAATGTATAAATATATACAACATATGTACACATGTTTGTATATGTATATTCTACAAAAAATGTAGATAAGGCAATAAGAAAGAAAAATAAATAAAGTTTTTCATTGATAACATAACCAGTGAACATGATTAAAAAATATATAAAATGTAAGTATATTTAACACATACGCAAACCTAATAATTTAACATGCCTATAATATGTATCTCTTGGTATAGGCTTTGTACATGGATCTACTATCATATCGTGAATAGATATGTACTTCATGTTCACTTCTTTTTGTGCAACCATATCCTTCACAAAATTGTATTTAATATTTATATATTTTGTTTTTCCATGAAAATTGGGATCTTTGGTATATGCTATTGCTATTTAGCTGTCACATCTCACAATGGTTCATAAACCTTTTTAACCAAATAGTTGCTTGCATTGCAGCTGAAAAAGCTACAAACTCAGCTTCCATTATGGAAAAGGCTATACATGATTGTTTCTTACTACTCCATGATATGACACCATCATTTAGTAAGAAAGCATATCCAGAGGTAGATTTTCTCCCATCTAAATCTCTTACCCAATCAGCATCTATATAACCCTTCAAGTGTAAATCAACCCCTTGGTAATACATTAAGTAATCAGTTGTGCCTTTAAGATAACGTAAGATTGTTTTCACTAGTTTTCAATGTGCTTCACCAAGGTTAGATTGATATTTACTAACCATTCTAACTGTATGACATATGTCAGGCCTTATGTACATCTTAGTAAACATAAGGCTTCCAACTACAATTGAATAAAGAACTTTTCTCATTTGTTCTTTTCTTGTGGTGTTTTAGGACATAACCTTTGGCTTAAAGCTTCATTTTTTGTGATAGGGGTATAAATGAGTTTATAATCTTGCATATGAAATCGTTCAAGAATCTCTTTAATATACGTCTCTGGTAAAATAGATAACAAATTCTAGGAATGATCTCTTAAAATCCTAACTCGAAGGATATATACAACCTCTCCCATATCTTTCATATCAAAATGAGATGACAACAATCTTTAATTTCTTTTACATACCCCTTATCATTTTTAGTTATAAATATATCATTCACATACAACGATAAGATAAAAAATTTATCTTTAGATCTTTTAATATATACGAAATGATTTTCTTCAATCATATTAAAGTTATACGAAATTATCACATTATGAAATCGAATCTACCATTGTCTTGAAGATTGCTTAAGACCATATATAGACTTTAAAAGTCAACACACTTTATGCTCTTGATCTTTTTTAATGAAACCTACTGGTTATTCCATATAGATCTTTTCTTCTAATTCTTTATTGAGAAAAATAGTCTTTACTTCTATAAGATGTAATTTAAGATCCATACATGCTACTATAGCTAGAATTAGTCTGATTGAGGTAAATCTAGCAACAAGTGAAAAGGTTTCTTCATAATCTATTCATTCCTGTTATGTATACCCCTTAGCGACTAGGCGAGCTTTATATTTTTCGATACTACCATCAATTTTTCACCTAATTTTGAGAGCCCATTTGTTCCTAATGGCTTTGCTTCCTTTAGGTAAATCGATCAACTCCCAGACTTAGTTAGATTTCATGGACTTTATTTTTTCTTCCATTTCTTTCATCCATTTTTTCCTTTACAGGACATTTAAGAGCCTCATTTATATTCCTTGACTCTTCCTTATCTTATGGAGTAACTAAGAATATTCCCTGTTCAATCTCAAAACGACGACGAGGAATACTTTTTTTATTTGTTCAATGTATTTAAGATTCTTTTAAGTTACTCCCACTGGGATCAGTTTCTATACTTGGGCCCACCATTGATTGTGATTGGGTTTTAATTGAAACAGTTTCATTGAATCTCATATCACTCCCACTCAAATATAATTATACTTGTAGAGTGGAAACAATTTGGTTTTGAGTTTCATATAGAGATAAGTGTTGATCTATCTCACCCTTTTTAGGAAAATCATTCTCTAAGAGTGTGACATCTCGTGATTCAAATTTAATTACATGATTATTTTCTTATGCGCCTATGAACACATATCATTTTGATTGTTAGTTATCTTGAT